ATAAACACTAAATTTTAATAAAACGTTCAATAGTATAATAAAGTGTTATTCTGAATACAACTATATGTTTTATTGATATTTTCTGTTACCAGAAACTGTTCCTAAATTTATTCATATAACTAAACTCCATTTCTTATTGGTATTACAATATCTAAATTATAGTTTATATAATTTATTCATCGTTCATGCCATTTTGTTATGTGACCAATAAAAAAAAAAAATTGTTTATTTCTATGAAACCAAAATTATGTTGGTTATCATTATTAATACTTAAGTGAAGAAATTTAATAGAATCGCGTCTCCGCACGTTTATCGATTCCTTATTTCTTTTAATGACCCTATAGACGTTATTATATACCTACCTGTATGACGTATATTATAAAACATATACATGTGTGATATTATATTGAATTAAGACGTAGACTGTGCGGTACTTACAGATTGTGATGGACGATTTTCCGTCAGTCGGGTCGGGGGTTTCGTGGTTGGAATTGCTGTCCTCGGTCGAGACCAAAGTGGCGCAACAGCCGGACGGTTTGCCGTGTATGCAGTACACTTTACCGGAACCGGTTGACGGTTGCCGTACAAAAGCTCCGGTCATCGTTGGTGTCGTGCTCATGAACACGTCTTCATTAACGGACCCGTACTTGGAACTTTCGCCTAACCTGAAAAAAAACAACACAAAACAATAATAATAATTATTGCACCATTGTTGAACAACACGCGCACATCGTAATCACATCACCGTTTATACTATAATAATAGATATAAGTAATATTTTGAAACAAAAAAAACCGTAAATATACGGTAAACGTCAATAAAAATTATATTATATTATTACAAACACGAAAAACTCGCATGCATAAATCGAGAAWGGATTTAAAGACTAGAACATACGTCGCGCAAAAAAAAAATTACAAAACGGAAAATATTAAAACACTCGAAATCGTTCCTTACAGTGGAATAAATTCGTTTTCCATGGTGCATTAGGATCTAAAATTCACTGTGTATAACTTCAACCAAACCACTATGTATTATAGTTATGTTATTATTTTAATATGATTATGACCAAGACTAAAGAACATCGATATATTATAACGATAGAAGGAAAACTATGCGCACAATCGTACTGCTAATATAGCGTACCAGTCATATCTACGTCATGCAACAATCGAAATTTAAAATATAACATTATTAGTTTCGAGACAAGAAAAGGCGTTCAACAAGTTCCATTTTTCAGTAACGACTATAATATTTACCGATGGAATTGGTCCGATAAGCATTATAATATTGAATATATAATAAAGTGGAATAATATATATTGAAATTGTTTTCCATATTGTTATCTATACTAATTACGATGACACAACCCTGGAGGGGGTTTTGCTTCCACCCAACAACTACGTTGCTGTTGTGCTCGAGATTCGAGATTACAACGCACCTGCAATATTATAAGTCATTCGTACTATATTTATTCAGTATTATTTGAGATTATTTTCATTCAGATCCGTATAAGTATAACAGCAAATAAATCTTAGCAAATATATATTTACAGTGGAGCTCAAACATGCTTTATTAACTCGATGCAATATTTTAGTTACGTATAAYTTTATAATAATTATCCACACATGAAAACGGCGACACGAATAACCTTTGACTTTCATTATCAACTCTGTTTGGCTGGTTCAAATATTCATCTTGAAATGTATCTTATGCACTTATTTAGTTTTTATTTTTCACTTAGATTAAAAAAGAAATCCAAATAATATAAATGTATAAACCTATACACTGATTAATTATAATTTCTACAAAAATAAATACGACGAATTATAATTTTTAATTAAACTATTAGGTATCGTATATCAATATATTATAATGTTTAAAGACTTATAAATTAAGGGTGATGACAGTGTACCTAATGTTTGTTTACTTTAATGTTTGAATAATAAATAACAAGCAGAAACTATGTCGTGTGTGTGTAATTGGATGACAATATTATTGTGTTCATGAATAAATTATAATTCGGTAATTATTCGTAAGACAGAAACGATATAAAAAATAAAAAGTCAACTTATGTTTTGCAATTCGTGTTTGACTTTGACAATGTCATGAATGTTATTATTGCATATTACTAATGAACTGCGTTTTTTTTAACCAAAATAAGATAATTGAAACACTTGATGAGTAATAAAGTACATTTAGATTTTAGTGTTTTAATGAAAAACAACCTGATTATAAAAATCAAAAATATATAGTCATACTCAAGACTTATCCTTTATGATAAAATTTATCATAATAATACTTGTACAGTAAGTTGTTCATCTTAAGCGACTTGAGCCACTCCACCAACATCGAGGAAGCATTATAGAGAAAATCACCATTGATTTCTATTTATAATATTTACAACGCCAYTAGACTTATAGACATACAAAAATAAAATAAAATATTATATGATGTTTAATAACTGAACTTGAAACCCTACCAAGACGTGTAAGTACTTAATTATACATTTATGTAAAAAAAAAATGAAAATTGAACATTATTTCGCTCATAATTATTTCAAAACTATTAGTATTACCTATTTTAAAGTAGCAACAAATATTTAAATTATAGACTATGGAATACTATGGAATACAATATTAAGTAGGTAAGTRAGTAATATTATACATTATAAATCATCTTTATGGTATTCAGAATTATAGAAAAAAATCATATTCAGGTGTACAATAGAGCAATTAGACGAATAAAAGTAGGTAGTTGATAGGTATATCAAATCGTTACTTAAAGCCATAAAAACATAATTGAGAGAAAAGTAAACGTTTTCAGTTAAATGAACAATAGAGGTCAGGCATCTTTTTTATGAAAATTGAWACAAAATAATTAGTAGATAGGTATCTTGATAATAATAATAATAAATGTAACGCCGGATAATAACCTCGTTGTTGATGCCTTAAATTAAATAATTAATAAAACAAAATTATTATTATTATTATAACAATAAATTAAAATTAAAACACCATATAGATAAATTATGCGTACCTATAAACTGAATAATAAAAGCAGAAAAGTTCGCTGTACATCATTAGGTTTTCAAAACTTAAGCATAATTAGTTCGTAATCAAACAATCTGAAATCGATTAGTTCAATGATTAGATCGTGSCATAGTGTATTCAGAATTTATTGTATTCGACATTGGGCTTAATAATCCATGATCAAATATTTCTACAGACATTTTTCAATTAACATTARGCACTAACCTTGACCGGAAACGTCAACGTTTCGCTAATAATTGTCATTCGCATAAAGATTTTCAGAGGACTTTTGACCACCTATAAAATATAAATAGTTATACTAAAGGTAATTTTAGTTTTATTCGAAATTACAGAYTCAAAAGACAATAAGATGCATTATTGTTATCGTAGTAGAGTTGTATAATAATATTATAATAAGTGACTATGGGTAAATAATTTAACATTTTACAAATAGGTATTTTATATTAAAAGAAGGTAACAGAAACCATGTAGATATGCAGTTTTATATACCGTACGTAGATATAATTATATAAACACAGAGTGATCCAGAAATTCCGACTAAACACTCACAAAATAAACTATATAGTTCTCTACCTATATTATGTATATGTCATGATGTGGTACATGTGTTACATTTTAAATTTAATCACAACAGTAAATAACGATAAATTAGAAATTTTAGATAATATATGTATAGGCAAATAGGCAATACACATATAGGTATAAAATACTAATAATAATAAACTTCGATAAGACTCGTTTAAATGAATTACTAATAAAACTGTTACATAATGATTGCAATTTTACAAATATTCAATTATTATTATTGTTAATATTATCATATAATTTAAAAAAAAATATTTAGAAACATTTTGTTTTATTAATTTTTGTATAAAAGTAATCATATATCCGCTATTTAATTATTTTATAGTTTGTATTAGTTTTAATAAAACGTATGCATCAATCGTAAAATCCATACAAAAACTCATGATGTTGAAAATATAATATTCCATTTGGCTATACAATTGACAATAGTTTTAACTATACTTTTTCAATCATATCTCATAATACACATTCCGTTTTATGTCGTACATTTAAATTAAAGTTGTTTCATATAAACTATGTACTTAATAAGTGTACCTGTATTCAACAAATATAATGTGAAAATATCTATTCATATAACTGTAGACAGATTCAGGACACGTCCGTCCAACTTCTTAGCTTATCTAATAACAATATTGTTAGAGTTAACATTACGTTTATGAAAATTAATTAACAGCAATTAACAGAATACAAATTTGCATCTCTTAATCGTCAAGCTAATTAATACTGTCGGTGAAAGCCTGCAGGCACGTACCTATAGTGTGATGAGCATGATCCCCTCCTTGAACCGTACAAAATGTCGTACATTAGTCAGAAAATATCTATTATCCTCGAGTTCTCGTTTGAAACTGTTGAAATATTTTAATATTAAAACGTTAAATTTAACTGTTTTATTGGTAACTCTTCGCAGGCTGTATGTTCAACTTGTTCAAATAAAACTATATTTATGTGTTTGAGTAAATTAATTATTAAACACCTAGCATCTGATTATTTCTTTTATAAAATTGAGTATTGTTCATTATTATTAGATAAAAAAACTTGGTTGAGAATTAGAATGACAAATCTTAGACTCTTGATGAATTGGAACTTTTAAATAAACAACACCGTTTACCGCAATCAAATCTTTAACGTAAATATATAATTGTTAATCAATTTATTGAAATGGTTAGAGATTTAACTATTTAAATAAATTTTAGTTTTATCATATTATATTATTCACATCAAATAAATTAAAATTTGAACTTGTATTTCAGCAAAACATTTTATATTTTAACTTTTAAGTGTTTTTAGCTAATAAAAACAGAATAATACTAAATACGGTTTAGTTTAGTTTTTTTTTTTTTTTACCAGGATGGTGTTTATCATAAGAAATAATAATTTTCTTTTATTCTTTAAGAATAAAAATCAAATTTTTAAAAAAATGATTAAAAATYCTATTAGATAATTTCTGATTTTCTAGTAAAATAAAAAGAAAAAAACACTGTCAAAATATTATAGATTTTTGTTCTAAAAAATGATCATCATGTCACCAGTTYACACAAATAGTTTCGCCACTAAATATCTGAAATGTTTTACCCGACCATACGCTATCATAATTATTTAAAATGGATCACGATACGATTTTTTATAATCATTGTTTTATTTCCCTTCATCKCATTATAATTGAAAAATACATTTAAAGTTAAAAGAAAAAACACATCAGTTTTATAACAACATAATATAAATAGGTAATTGTGAATTCTACTTAATTAATTTCAATTAGTAAATAATAATTATTACCTAAATATTTACTAAAAATATCAAATTGTTTACATTAAAATTAATTACATGCATTTTACAAGTTTTATTAGCAAATAAGTGTTTAAATTATCAAACTAAATACATATTGAAATGTGGTCTGTGAATGTATTAATCTTATTTCAAGATCTATCCAATTTACAAGAGCTCTCTGTATATAATTGTCGTTTATTATGATACAATTTATATGCACAAATATAAATGTTACCAAAAATGCCACTTCCTTGAAGTGTTTAAAGACTACTTGACCTTCAATGAGAGTCGAGGATAAACAAGTTATTTAAAAAGNTCTTCAATTTTGGTTATACGATTAATATTAAATTAAATATTTTCAGTATAGTTTAATTTATAAATTATTATTTGAAAATATATTTATAGTATTATCTTCGAATTATAAATATATATACAAAATCAAGTTTTAATTAAAATTTAAAAAAAATTAATATATATTAAAATCTAGTTGTATAATTTTAAAATACACATTAAATTTATTTTTACAAAATATATAAGTATAACAAAAATTAAAAAATACTTGTGATTCTATCACATAAATCACTTTTCTAATTTAACTTTTTGAAGGGAATGACAACAAACATTTTATTATTATTAAGTTTAGTATTAAATACAGTGATACACYTTACCAATGTATTTGTATATCTAGTTCGTTTTTATATTATTTTTAACGTTTCTAACACTTATGTATTARACATTTTAATGACAATATTATAAAGTGTATTACAAATACAAATAATATATGTTCAACACTTTATTTTAAAATAGGTAAATACAGTCTAATTTTAACTCTCAT